AACTGGAAGTAAAGTGTAGCAAGCAGGATTTTTCATAAAATGAAAACTGCAAGAAAGGTGATTTTAAAGAATATGTAAACCTAACATTTCATATTCCTGATATGTACCCGCTGTACCATGTACTTGTATGAAAAAGTATCCTGTTCTCTTTGTATTGCTTCCTTTATGTAAACTCCCTGGTGTTTCTGTCAAACCCTTTACTTTCCTGTTTAAAAGACGGACCACACTAGGCAGGAGAACACAGCATTGTAAGTTCTCCAGCTGTGCTAGAAATTCAGAGTGCTTTCTTCCAATGATCATACTTCTGCTGATACCCCCCCCCCCCCCACACACACACACACAGCCTATCACTGGGAAAATCAGTGTTCTACTGTTTCTCCTCCCCAGCTCTTATGCAGCTGAGAACAGAGGGTATGTGATCACCTATAAAAAAAGGGAAAAAATGTGTATAAAATATGTTTATATCTAGACTCAAATGTTTTGCCTTTTATTTCTATTTTAAACTGCTTGGGTTGATTTACTAGGTGAGGGTTTACAATCACTTTAAAAACAATAATGCAGATGCCAACATGTGATTTATGTGCAGGTTTTGTGAAATTAACCTTAAGTACAGACATGTGAATGGGTCCTTAGTCCCTTAATAACCAGCAAGCATCCCGTAAATTTACCGGTAGAAAAAATCTCACATTCTTTAGGTCTTTAGGTCTGGGCAACATCCTTATTAGAGACTGGTACCTCCATACAGGCACATTTGGTCAGACAAGATGACCCCCCTCTCCCTTTCTGATGGACCCCACTGTTCTTTTCTGCTCCTTTATATGCTTAATGTAAACCATAAAAGAGTGCAGCACTGCTGTAAAAAAATGAAAAACAAACATATGTAAAAGATGAAAGTGACAATTAAAAAAATCCCTCACATATACTCCACATACAGGATAAATCATCTTTTACCCATTATGCGTACGAAACTCAACAACCATACCAAATAAAGCAGTAAAGTTCATAAAATGGTCTATTCTTGAAATGTGTGGTACTTCTGGTCATCCACATGCGTATTAATCCCACACTGTTGTGAATCACATAATACTGCTTCAGAATACTATATGCTCCCTCCAGGCACCCAGAACTCTCACCTCTAATACATATAAATCGTGCTGTATGATCAAATCCTCCAGAGCACCACTTCTGCCTCCATCCACAGGGGTCTTCCTTGGGTCACCATTTCACATCTCCTAGAGAGGTACTGTGCCTTTAAGATGATATATATATATATATATATATATATATATATCCATGGGGCCAAGATTAGGGCACTCAACAAAGTAAACACAAATAAAGGGCTTCCATAGTGTAGTAATAACATAAAGCCAGCAAATTTATTAAATAATTGCACAATGTACCATGTTAAAAATGTTATAAAAAACATATATTGAAACTGGATAATGGACTTCTGGTCCATGCTGCCACTGCTCACAATTTTTATTTTGCTTTATTTGTGGGAATACAAATTGATGTTTAGCGGTAGCTGGAAGTCACTTTATTAGTATATTTTGTTGTCATATTTGGTTTTTATATATTGGTAGTGCAGGAGGGTCACAACATTATCTTTATATAGGTTTGTAGAGGTTAAAGGCTAAGTTCACCTTTTAGAGCTTGTTACACGTTACAAACATACAGTATTTAGATAGTAATGGGTAACGTGCTACAACACCTCTCCTGACATACCCTCCCACTGACAACAGGTTAGGAATCCTCTCCACGCACACACGGCAGATTTCAAAAACAGTGTGGCTGTGCAGGGCTCCGCCTGCACAGTTGCGTCTTTCATTCACAGAAATCTGTGAATGAATGAACTACAAGCACCATCTGCCACCGAAGTTCAACTGCAAGGGCGCTGGTGAATGCTTTTATAGTTCATTGACGCTTCCTTTTGCTTTCAAACAGAAAGGCCATACAGAGATACTGTATAGCCAGAAAGCTGTAGTGAGTGTCTGCAGGAGCCTGACATTGAACCCATAATCCACTGATTGTGAGCGCAATGCTATGCAGGCTCCTGAGGAAAAAAATAAATGCACATTTTTTTTTATCTGAAAAAACATGTGCATTTGTTTATTTGTTTGTTTTTCAAAAAGGGTAACTTAGCCTTTAAATGTCAAGTTTAAAATGACTTCTACTCTTACAGACCAATGGAAACTTGCTGAAACCTGCTGGAGCTGTTGGAAAAGATGATCAGTCATACTATAAGAATATATGTTTCGAATTGGATATGGTTCGAATTCTGTTATTTCATCCTACTCAAACAGCAAGCCTGGAAACAGGACCTTTGGTATGGCAGGTCATCAAGTACAACATTACATCATATGTACTGGGAGGCACATTCAAATTTGCTTACCTGGGGATAGGCAAAAAATAAATTCGGTCTTCCTAAAGCTAAACTCTAAGCAGATATTAAAAAACACACAGAATATAAGCTCTATATTCTTTAATACATCATAAAATGTGTTTTCTTTTTATTGCAAGCAGTATATGCAGGGGCGGACTTACAACTCATGAGGCCCCCGGGGTACAGGGGATCATGGGGCCCCTGTGTCCTTGCCCAAACTCAAAAAAGCCTATGAAAAAAGGTACCAGGGGCATCTCATGGGGCCCCCTACTGACCCCGGGCCCTCGGGCAGTGCCCAAGTTTCCAAATGGTCAGTCCGCCCCTGAGTATATGAGTAACTGAATTTGATCTGGTATCAGCCTCTTGAAATCCATTTTACAGGAAATCTCAGACTGGGAGAGGAAAAAGCAGGACAAGCAGCCAATCTGTTGTGTTTCAGTAACAAGGAACATGCTCTTAAGACAGATGGAGAGAGATATGAGCTCATCAGTCTGCTGCTTCTTCTTTCACTGTCCAATTAAAGGATAGATGAAGCATGATTAAACTCCAATAAAAGAAATTTAGGTCTCCTTCTCTGCCAGATAGTGCTGCAAAGTGTTGTATTGATATATAAATCTCAGGACTGGATGAACAGAAATACAAATCTTTTGCCAGGTACGACAGTTCTCATATGTTGTCTTTTGTTTGTGTATTTAGCAGTTTACCCAGAGTTCAGCTTCAGAATTATACCAACCCTGTACAGGTATCACATTTTGATTGTTTTATGTTTTTCAGGTTCCAAACGTTTGCCTGAAATATGTACGTAAATCACACATTTATAGACTATTTCATCATTAAAGGGATATCAGATGACCCACACATTCAGCTTCTCATCTTCCTTGTGGTCCTCATCATTTATCTCATCACCCTGTGTGGTAACCTAACCATTCTTGTTGCTTGCCGAGACCCCCAGCTTCATACTCCCATGTATTTCTTCCTGGGAAACCTGTCTGTAGTAGACATTTCTTGTACTACCGTGTCTCAGCACAGGATCTTCACGCATTTTATCACAGGTCATAAGATGGTCTCCTTTTTTACCTGCATGGCAGAGACCTATATGTTTGGCTCACTACAGATTCTTGAGCTGGTTATACTGACAGCCATGAGTTATGATCGATATGTGGCCATCTGTAAACGTTTACATTATCACATTATTATGAATAAAAGAACGTGTGTTTTGTTGGCTGCTTTCTGCTGGTTATTTGCCTTTATGGAAGTCCTTCCCCCAGTCAGCGTAGTATACGGATTTTCTTGCTATAAAACTAATGAAATCAATCACTTCTTTTGTGATATTGTCCCAATGACCAAGATTACTTGCAATGACACTAAACTTGTGGAAACTCTGTTTTTCATAGAAGTCATGGGTCCTATGATGTTCATCCCATTTCTTCTCACGATTGCTTCTTATGTTTTTATAATAGCTTCCATACTGAAGATCCGATCTAGTTCTGGGCGACTTAAGGCCTTCTACACATGTTCCTCCCACCTTACAGTTGTCATAGTGCTGTACACTATGCTATTCAGTCAATATCTGACACCTGACCTAGGTGGAAACTTGGAGGCCACAAAGATTTTTTTCTCTGTTTAATACTGCTGCTGTACCAATGCTTAACCCTCTTATTTATAGTTTGAAAAATAAAGATGTCAAGGCAACTCTCATGAGAATCAAAGGACAGATCAAAAGGAACCAATAAATTTTTTGCAAATGTTTAAAAAGCTTTGCGTTGGTTGGAACAGGACAAGCTGAAATTAATTTCTCACTATAGGAACTCATAGACAATGACTTGAAGCTACTGCACTGTGGTGCATGAAAAAAAAAACCATCAAACTGAGTAGCATTATCATATGTCAGAGGGAATATAAAAGCTTCTAAAGGAATAATAAATAAGATAATTACTATTGCATACCTACATCTCAAAATTTTGTATACTTATCCCTATTTACTTTTTTGCTATAAAATAGCATAATCATTACTGATTTAATGGATGGAGAAGATAGAATGGTAGACATATAAATAATAGAATAATTTATTTTAGAACAATGGATGAATTCTATATTAGACTTGTGTACCATTTTCCAAGCAAAACAAATTACATAAGCATTCAACTCACTAAATACAGGGGGCTTCCACTGTGGTCCCTGACAACATTAACCACTTGCCCTCCAGAGGATTTACCCCTTTCCTGACCAGGCCATCTTTTGCAATACGGTGCTGCGTTACTTTAACTGACAATTGCGCGGTCATGCAATGCTACACCCAGATGAAATTTATGTCCTTTTTTCCCACAAATACAGCTTTCTTATGGTGGTATCTGATCACCTGAGTATTTTTTATTTTTTTGCACTATAAAAAAAAGGCTGACAATTTTGAGAAAATAACAATATTTTTTGATTTTTTGCTATTAAACATGGCCAGTAAAAAAAATTTGAAAAATCAAATTTCATCATAAATTTAGGCCAAAATGTATTCTGCTACATGTCATTGCTAAAAAAAAAATCCCAATACGTGTAAATTAATTGGTTTATGTGAAAGTTACAAATGGCAGTATATATACTGGAATTTTTTTTTTTTTTTTTTACTGGTAATGGGACTGCGGCGGGCATTCTGACACTGGGGGGGAACTAACTTGGTATCACTGACATCCCCAGTGACACCAATACAGTGATCAGTGCTAATAAAATGCACTGATACTGTACTAGTGGCACTGGGCAGGACGGGGTTAACATCTGGGGCGATCAAAGGGTTAACTGTGTGCTGTGTGTGGTTTATTATGAGGCTTTGTCTGTGCTTTCCACTGTAAGCACACTGCTTTGTATGGCTCTGTTATGCAGGACCATACAAAGCAGCATGCAGGAGCTGACAGGGAAGAGAACTGCGTTGTTTACATACAGTTCTCTCCCCCCGTCAGTAATACTCGGCAATCACCGGGTGCCTGCGTGTAATCACCGGCCTGGACCTGGTGATTGACATCCAAGGCCGTGAATGGCGGTCCCTACCCGGAACTACAAAATCACGTATATCTACATGATTTTGCACACCCGTGCCACCCTGTAGTAGTATTTCTGCTATAGGGTGGACGGGAAGAGGTTAAAATGGCTGAACATAATATTCTGTATATGTAATACTACTAAATACAGTCAGAGATTGCAGGAGATGGAACACGAAAAGCAAAAGGATCCAAACCAGGAAAAAGCCACATCACTGTTTAATGTAACATGAAAAATGTTGTTATTTTTATATTTATATTATTTATATAATTTATGATTGTACAGTCATGGCCAAAAATATTGGCATTTCTGTCAGATAATGTACCACTTCACCTAGAAAAATTGTTGCAATTACAACTGGTTAGGCATTCTTATGTTTATTGCTTTTGTTTGTATTGGTATGACACAAAAAAATGGATAAACAAAAAGACAAATCTGACACATTCCACGCAAAACCCCAAAAATGGACTGGACAAAATTATTGGCATGCTTAATTTATAAATTGGTAGCACACCCCTTGGATAGAAATGATAGAAATCAGTTGCTTCCTGTAACCATCAATAGGTTTCTTACACCTCTCTAATGGAATTGTGGACCACTCTTTCGCCAACTTCCCCAGGTTTCTCAGACTGGAACGGTTCGTTTTCCCAGCTGCTGTTTCGAGATCTCTCCACAGTTTCTCTATGGGAGTGAGATCTGGACTCGTTGCTGGCCAGTTCAGTACTCTCCAGAACTTTGTCTTAAACCATTTCTGGGTGCTGTTTGATGTGTGCTTTGGGTCATTGTCCTGCTGTAAGTCCCATGTCCTCTGATGGAGACCCAACTTTCTGACACTGGGCACTACATTGCACCAAAGAATTCTTTAGTAGTCTTCAGATTTCATAATACCATGTCAAGACATCCAGTGCCTCGTGCAGCAAAGAAACCCCGAAACATCAGTGAACCTCCATCATATTTGACTGTAGGGACTGTATTCTTTTATTTAAAGGCCTCATTGCTTTTTCTGAAAGCAATAGAATGATGGTCTTTACCAAAAAGCTGTCCGTAGCACATTCTCCCAAAAGGATTTTGGCTTCCTCAGGTAAGTTTTGGCAGACCCCAATCTGGATTTTTTATGTTTCTGTGCCAGCAGTGGGGTCCTCCTGGGTCTCCTACCATAGCGTCCCTTTTCATTCAGATGGCAATGCATAATGTAAGGTGACACAATTGTACCCAGTACCTGAAGGTCAGCTTAAACTTGTCTGAAAGTTGATCGAGGTTCTGTATCCACCATTCACACAAGTCTTTGTTGCATTCTTTGATAATTTTTTTTCTCTTTTGTCCATGTCCAGGGAGATTAGCCACAGTGTCATGGGCTGTAAACGTTTTAACAATGTTGTGCACAGTGGACACAGGAACATTAAGATCTCCGAAAATGGACTTGTAAGCTTGAGATTGTCCATGCTTTTCCACAATTTGTTTCTCAAATCCTCAGACAATTATCTGCTGCTCTTTCTTTTCTCTGTTCTCCGTATGGCACACAAAGACACACAAAAGAAAGGTTGAGTCAATTTTTCACCATTTTAACTGGTTGCCAGTGTGATTTCTATATTGTTAGCACCTGTTAATTGATACAAGTGAGTTTAATTACAAATACCAGGAACATCACAAACTTGAAATGCAATTACTTCTTACAATTTTGAGAAGGTACCAATAATTTTGCCCAGTCCATTTTTGGGGTTTTGTGTGAAATGTGTCAGATTTAGTTTTTTGTCACACCAATAACAAAACAAAATAAATAAACATGAGAATGCCTAAACATTTGCAATTGCAACAATTTTCTGGGCAACGTGGTGCATTATCTGACAGAGATGCAGGAGTGCCAATATTTTTGGCCATGACTGTATATATACAGAGTACAAGGGAATGATGAATGCATTCTGTGGGATATATGTATATTTTTTAGATCTTTTTATGGGCCCAACTGGGTTTTACACTATAATAAAATTTAAAAAAAAATTATGTTACATTGAATCATGGTGCAGATTTGTCTTTAGTGTTTGCCTTTAGTGTTCTGTTTCAGTGATATTTTGGAATGAAACCAGCACACTGAGTAGTGGCTGATGTTGTTCATACTATAGGAGATGGTTAGAGACTTCGGATATAACTGAGGTGTGGTTAAAAATTGAACATATGGTACAAAAGACAGCAAAGACTGGAGATATTTTACATGAGAATGCTAGATCACTGCCATTACAGCCTCTCAAAAATCTATGCCCTAGTACTGGTTTATGGGGCCCAGAAAGTTAGAAAGTTATATAATGAATGTATAGGATCAAAAAGTTTTGCTGTATTTGCTTCCTCAGGATGCACGCTTGGGGTGAACTGCTAGAATAAATAAGAGATACAATAGTAATATACAACATCAAAAAACAAAATTATATTTCAAACATACAAGTATAAAAAAAATGGCAAAGACAAAATGGGGGATGGTAGAAGAAAAAACACTAATATCCCACTTACTCTAAAAACTCTCTCTCTAACCATGTGTTCAAATGAAGATGAAATCTCCAGCATATAAAGCAATCCATAGGAGGACTGATAAGGAGTCAGGGCTGGAAACCAAACCAGACACAGGCAACAATATAAACAATAATATGGCACGACCATTCCAAACCAACTCCCTAGGTGTTATCCAAGAGCATTAAATCAATATGTATCATTAAAAGGATATAAACATTAATACCCCAAGAACTTAAAGACAATATCACCAAATATAGCAAGCAATAAAACCATGTTGGGCAAAGTCTGCAGCCTGCATTACTCACCAAACCATCAACTGTAATTAACAAGATTGCATAGGCCACAGGATTTTAAAGTATCCCACCATTATATTTCCTTTTTATATTGTACCAGCTGGTCCTCCCCCATGTACCACTAAAAAGAGCCTCCCCCACATCATTTGGCATGGAAATGGCAGCGGGACTCTCTACATATTCACCAGTAGCAGAGGAAACCAATATGGCAACGTCATCGGCATCACTTCCAGTGATGTCATCTCCAGAAACAACCAAAAGCCATACAGATGCCATCTTAGAACACCCAGAAGATGCGGGAAGTATCACAGGCAACATCTTAGAGTACCTGCAGAAACAGTCCAGTATTACCCCCCAAAATGGGATACCTGCCAAAATAGCTTAGAACCTGCAAAGGTTTCGGATCGGAAATACCACATTTACTCCTTCAAATAAACACCAAGCCAAAAATAAATCCACCAAAAAATACCTGGGAATCCTCAAAGCATTAAAAAACAACAGTCCCATTCAGGCCATGATGAAGTCATCTGACCTATAATTCAAACTAAATATGCAGACATGGATCAACCATTATCCAGAGTAAAACCCCCACATCTCTGACACAAATGGGAGAGAGGGAGAAAGAAGGACCCCCCAGTTGCAGGTTGGCATATGATGGGGCACACTTGCTCCCTATCACTACCCCCTGCACTTGATCATAGTGGGAGCCATTGAACATAAAAATTATATGTGTGAGGATAAATTTCAAAAGTTGCAGGATTAACCCCTTATACAAATGCTGGTCCATCCCACGTTCATTCTGTAGCACTACCCCCTTAGGAGTCACTAGAGATGTTCCACATAAAACGACATTTATTACCACATTTAACAATAAGTTTGAGAATATTGTAAAAATAATGACAATGCTTCACCATCAGCTAAACTATGCCAATGCCTTAAGTGAATTTGTGGATGAGGTTCCCAGGATTACTGTTCAGAAGAATAGATCCATCAAAGACATGGTGGTAAAAAGTCACTATGAAACACAACGTGGAGGAGACCCATTTGCGGGACTCCCGTTTGTTTTGCAAGTTTGTGGAAAAAAAGTTTGGAAAGCACTTTACCAAATGGCATACGATGGAAAAGTAGACAATTTGTGTCTTGCCAGACTGTTGGATATGTTTATTCGCTAAGATGCCCATGTAATGCTTTCTATATTGGTAAAACTAAAAAAAGCTTTTGGGAACGCATTCATGATCATGTCAATGATGTATGTGGATTGGATCTTGTAAGCGCGGTAGCAAGGCACTTTGCCAAAGAACATGACTACAACCCCATAGCCATGTGTTTTTAGCTCTTGAAAGAATTCACCCCCACCCTAGAGGTGGAGATTTTGATAATACAATTCTACAAAGAGAATGTAGATGGATTTACAGCCTAAAGGCCTGTAGGAAACCAGGTTTAAATGGAAAAATTTAGATATTCCCCTTTCTTATAACAAGGCATGATTTATAGTCATATTCCGGGGAATTAAATATCTGCTCTGAAGACCATTTGTAGGATAGATTTTTTTTTTAATATATATCTGTATTATGATTAATATTTATCTTTGGTTGTTTTGTTATATGGTAATAGACAAATTTGAAGGTTTGGCAGATTTGAGGAATGTGGGTTTTTTTCCTTCTCTCTCCCATTTGTCTCAGAGATGTGGGGGTTTTACTCTGGATAATGGGTGATCCATGTCTGCACATTTGGTTTGAATTATAGGTCAGTTGTATTGATTATGGCTTGAATGGGTCTGTTATGTTTTATTGTGTTGAGGATTCTCAGGTATTTTTTAGTGGATTTAAGTTTGGCTTGATGTTTATTAGATGGAGTAAATATGGTGTTTCTGGTCCAGCACCTTTGCAGAGTCTAAGCTTTTTTGGCTGCAATCCTATGTTGTGGATTATGCCAGACTGTTTCTACGGGCACTCTGAGATGGCACCAGTGGCCTCTTCTGGGTGTTCTAAGATGGCGTCTGTATGTCTTCCGGTTGTTTCCAAACATGACATCACCATATTGGTTCCCCTTGCTATTAGTGAATATTATAAATATTGTATATTACTATTGTGTCTATTTTTGATTCTAGTGGTTCATCTTAAGAGTGAAAGAGTTCATCTTAAGAGTGAAACTCGTTGATCCTATAAGCTCAATATATACTACCATAATATCCACAGACTGTATGA